AGACAGGTGAATAATTCGAAAAGCACTTTTAAACCGTTTTTGGGCATTAAACCTTATCTTTCATGTGGTGAGCTGCGTCTTCGTAGTTCGTGTCAGTTTCGTTATGTACGTTGCCGTAAATGTGGAAACGTTGGACGTATACTAGATGTTTGTGAAAGTTCCAAGTCACTTATCACTAAAATACTGAATAGCTATATGTCAAAATCAACTGAGTTAGATAGAAGAATTGGCTCGCCTTCGCATTCTAAAGTCCGAAGCAGTACTTCACTCTTGATGCAAAAATTGATGACTAACAAAAGGAAGTCCCATTTACTTATTATTAATACTGGTAACATAGAGTCAATTATCTGTAAGGGAAATTTTGTTTATTTACAATGATTTTCATTCAAATCCCACAGGTATTGCAAGTACTGGTGTCATTGGCCACGACTTACCTATTACTGGTACAATATTGTAAATTATCACTAGACATTACGTTCCATTCGCCATCCAACTAAGTCACTTCATCGGTCATTCGCTGCCACGACGCAGAGATGAAATTTAGGGTTGACTGCTCATGGTTTCACCACTCAGCAACGAGCTGCCAAAGGCACACAACATGCAGATTTTCTATCATTTTATTCATATTTCAGAAGACCACCTAACGAAAGCGAATGTAATTTGATTCATCAATTTCCTCCCAATAGAGCAAAACTTGTAACGGATACTCGTAAATTCCTTGGAACTGTCATAAGTGCGGTGAAAAGAGATTTGAATGTTCGTTCCGAGTGTAGTTTCCCTGAGTTTTACTAAAAGAGAGAAGACATGTCACTAGATCATAAAGGAGCAAAAGAAATGAAGACACTTAATGTTGATAAACATCGAAAATGTAAAAACTTGTCCTACTTGTTTACAAAAGCTATCTGTGGCAACGTATTCATGCATAGTGCCGTGCCTATTATTAAACTTGCATTACTGTTTAGTCGTTACTGATTCATATTCCAAATGTCCAGAAGGGGTACTCAGGAACAGTTTGAGTGGAAACTTTACTAAAAGAAAGATGAGGAATATATTTAGTCTTGAAGAGATATTGACGGTTTTACTCTTGTGATTTATTGCACGGTTCCTGCCTGGAGGTATTGTTAATCCGCTGCTACTAGACGCGGAAGCCCGTTAAGCGAAAGCTTCCATTCCGTCCACAACCATCTGAACCATTTGCATTTATTAGTAGCTGAAAGTGTAACCCATTTCACCGGAAAAAAATAAGTTGGTTTAATGATATTGGATGCCGTCGTCTACTTACAGCCTCACGACAACCTCAGTCTGACCGTTTAGGAAAAAAGTGTGTTCCAACCTTAGAGTGTGCTGCCGCATCAGTGAATCTGAATGGTCCAGAAGAGCTAGAAAAATGCATCGATAATGTTCTATTTCAACATCGCAATGTAGAACATTTGAGAAACAACGATGGTCCAGCTTACTCATTTAAATTCAGTATACTTCCAACTCATTCAGTGAACGAAACAAAATCAGAAATACAATTTCGCCGAGAAAATGACTATTGACCATCTGCAGAAATAACGATTCAGAGGATGGATAGTCAAATGGTGAAATTTCTTGATTTAAATGACCTTACAATACTTAGAAGATACATAGGCCAGGTGAAGATTATTGATGTTCTGGATTTATTGGGAGTTGTATTTTGCCGAGCATATTCTATTTTGATGTGGCCTAATAGTCTGTAGTTAGTATGTTACGAATTTTTGTAGGTTTGGTTTGGAAGAGATTTGAGTTTGGCTTTTCATTTGTTGGTCTTCTCCATCGCCAACCTTTTAGACTGTGCGGAAAAAGTGAGGTGTGGGCGTCTGCTAACTATTCTGAGTAGATTAATTACTAATTCAAGGGTTAGTATGACCATCCATAAATACGCTTGGTATAAAGTTGGATATATTGATAGGTAGGCTGATATATGTGTAGTAAGAGTGGAATAATAGTGGTTCATAACCAAACGATCCTGGGAACTAAACATTTACTTACTTAGTATGAGTTTTCTGGAAAATGGGTGGAAGTCAACAAAGGTTTACTGAATGACTCGACCATGAAGACGAAGTCATTGTGACTCATTTTTATATTAAATATATTGTTCTAGTGGTAAGATCGAGTCTATTTTGATCATTTTTTATGTGCTTCTGAAGACCTTGTAGAGATATTCATGAACATCCTACAAATAATTTCAATGGGGAGGCTTCAGCAAATGCACATGACTCTCGATCCAAAAATTTTCGGGGAGAACACAGCATTTTCACAGCTGCCCCTTAGAAGTATTTCCAGTCTCAAAGGAGCTGTGTGCTTCAAAAGCATTTCGATTTTTTCTATAGGACGTCATAACTCTTTTGCGTCTCGCCACATTGGCATAATTTACAGTTGGTAGTTAGCTGCATATACGATGTAGCCAATCTTATCCAGTACAGTCCTCCGCTAATAAAATTATTGAAGCTTATTTTACCCTAGTCTACTGTCCTTGTTCTTACTTACTTACTTACTTACGCCTGTTACTCCTCGAGAAGGAGCATAGGCTACTCACCAGCATTCTCCTTCCAGTTGTAATTCATCCTTTTCATATCTGTTTCTATTATCCGACGTAATGTGTTCTTTGGCCTTCCTCTTCTACATATCCCTTCACAATTCCAAGTTAGGACTTGCCTTGTGATGCAGTTTGACGATTTGCGTAATGTATGTCCTATCCATTACCATCGTCTTTTCCTAATTTCCTCCTCAGCTGGTAGCTGGTTTGTCCTCTCCCACAGAAGGCTGTTGCTGATGGTGTCCGGTCAATTAATGTTGAGTATCTTGTGTAGACAAGTATTTATAAATACTTGTACACTTTTGATGATGGTTGTAGTAGTTCTCCACGTTTCAGCTCCACACAGTAGAACTGTCTTGACGTTCGCATTGAAGATTCTCACTTTGATATTAGTTGAAAGTTGTTTTGAGTTCCATATGTTCTTCAATTGTAGGAATGCGGCGCTTGCTTTTCCAATCCTCGCCTTTACGTCTGCATCTGAACCTCCTTGTTCATCGATGATGCTTCTCAGGTATGTGAAGGATTCTACACCTTCCAGAGTTTCGCCATCAAGAGTGATTGAATTTGAGGACCTTGGTTTTCCCCTTGTGTATGCTGAGGCCTACTGATCAGAGACTGCTGCTACATTGGCTGTCTTCATCTGCATCTGTTCGCGTGTACGCGATAGGAGGGCTAGGTCATCTGCGAAGTCCAAATCGTCTAATTGATTCTGAGCTGTCCATTGTATTCCGTGTTTTCCCTCAGATGTTGAAGTCTTCATAATCTAGTCGACCACCAGAAGAAAGAGGAAGGGAGAGAGTAGACAGTCTTGTCTGACTCCGGTCCTTACATGGAATGCGTCTGTCAGCTGTCCTCCATGTATGACCTTGCACTGTAGTCCGTCGTATGAGTTCCGGATAATGTTGACAATCTTCTCAGGAACTCCACTGTCCTTGTTCACTTACTGGTATTTTGGGGATATGTATAAAAATGCCAAAGTTTTCAGATTTTCACAAAGGCTTTACAACCAGCACCTCTGTAATCGAATTATACCAACTCAGTTAAACCAGAAGTCGGAAATGAAGGGGTTTGAAGAAATATTTGGAAAACAATCGATATGTCGAGAGGCGTTAGGTTTAAGCTGGCTAGAAGTTGCAAGAGATGCGTAGCACGGTGTATTCACTCGTGACCTGATGTGGATGCGTGACCGATTGCGTCCAGCTAGGTGTGTGTCCGGTAAAACTAATGAAGACAGCGTCAATGTTGAAGATTTACTGAACTATTTATTTTGAGCATTTATTCACTGCTTCATGTAGGACCTTTATTACAGTTGGATATTTAGTAGTCTTGTGTTTTCTTGATTTCCTTGACATCGTAACCTAAAGGCTTTTTCAAATTTCCATCGTCAAATTAAAGATACCAAACAGATATATTCAACTACAGATTAGTGGTTTGTTAATTCAGCACGTTCATTTCATTAGAAATAATTGGTTTTTTTGGGAATCTCCATAGTTTCTTTTTTTCATGTTAAATTCTTGTTTTTCTTTTGTACATCTTCAAGGAATTTCCCTTCGGTGTAGGAACTAGACACTTCGCATTCAAAGTGGAACATAGACATTGAACAGTATCTCTGTTGCACTAGCCACAGTACTTATTCCATTAACATAGTTCTCTATTCGTGGACCCTCAAGACTAACAATATTCCGAATAATGCACGTTTTACTGGACAATATGGGACCTAATCCTGTGCTTGGGCCAAGACCTGGTTTTCAAACTCATAGGACAACAAATTGGTGATAAGATAATAAAGAGCTCGATGAATAGGATGAATTTATGCACAGTAGATGTATATTTAAACGTCTGAAATGACATAATTGTAGAAAAAAAGTGTTAGGTAATCATTTGGAGTAAGACTGACCCAAGAAAACGATGCCCGTTTAGTGTCTTAGATAAACTGGCCTCTAAAAGTTCAGACATGAGAAAATAAAATAATAGGAGACCTTAACATACCTGTTTAGGGTGTGTGAACTATGGAATTTACAACTGGAAGAGATATTAACTATTTTTCAGGAGATCTTTGCAAACGAAGAATTCGGCATAACTTAGGAGAGACTGAATCAGATTTAAGTTTTTAAAAATCAAGTTAGCATGAAATATATAACCATTAGCATATACATTTTACCCTTCAGTCTTTGAGCCACTGAAATATTTAGCAGTCTGAAATACTGAGGACAGTAGGTAGTTTTCAAATTAGTGAACCCAAATTAAACTGCATGATTTAGAATTGCGAGGACGAGTACACGGCCATAACACGATTAAGGCTCTCAAATTGAGTATCGTGATTCAATAATACTTATGAGAACTTCAGCGATGTTCATTGGCTTACATGCAAAGTTACTACATAAATTCAACAATCGTCATGTATTCTGGTGGTTTTAAACTACGACAACTTACTATTCATTAACAAGTCACCAATTTTTTAACGCTTCATTTTCTTGTCTCGGATTCGAAAGAAATATTGGCGGGTTCCATTGAGAGCGCGGGTATTAAGTTCGTGATTCTTCTGGGGACTTTCTGGCATAAGCTTGTTTTCATGCACTGATGAGTAAGTGACCAATATTTTTGACTGTTGAAAAAAATATATACATGTATATATGATAATTTTTGTCATGTGGTTTTACGAAATATATCAGAGCTTGTCGGAATAATTGAACCCGATACGTTAATACAAACTGGTTAGAGTTGTAATTTCAAGCCTTATGACGCCGTCGTTTAAATCCGTCATTCAATGTTGGCTTAGATTTTATAAATGCTTCTTGAGAGTTTCGTACTCCGAAGCATTAACACAGACTACTCAAGATGATAACTTGGAAAATAATGACTAGAATATATGGGTAAAAATACAAGCAGTAGTGTCACGAATAGCCTCTACAGTACAGCCCTTGTTTCTTTACTACTGCTACTTTTGTCCGTTCAATATAAGTTGATGAAGTTTTGAAAATCTGTTGGGGGGGTGGTTGAAGTACCTATTATTTTAAAGTTTTGTCAAACGTAGCCTTACCTCACTATTGCTAAGAAGTCATCAAAAAAATTAATGATCCACTGTCTATTATACGTGAAGTCATGTCTGTAGGTTTATAAGGAAGTTTATTGGGTCCTCGTTCTTCAAAATTAGAAAATTAATGAGTTAATAGCCAAAAGGCAAAAATATAAACGCATATTTTAAGAGACAGTGTTAAAATTTCAAGTGTACATAAAATAGGACTTGTTATGCTCATAACTACCATCGACCTCTTCGGGCTGTACTGGATAGTTTCAGAGGATTTCCTAAAGTATTTATAAAGAAACCCATTAGTACCATGAGTCTTTGAAGTCAGTTACTGCTCAGCTCAATTATATGCAAAAGTGCAAGGTGCGTGACTAGAGCTTTCGTAGTAACCTCAATCCATGGTTGTCTGTTTTACTTAATATGACTCGAAACCAGTCACATGTGCATTTAGTATTCCTTTAATTCTAGAGCATAAAGTCATTCCACAAACTGCCCTTCTGTTTTATTTTGGGAATGAAGGTTTTTTGGTGAGACTATAATTTATGGACGACCTTTGAGCGACGCTGAAGTGACCTTAAGAGTGAACACTAATTAGAACTAAATGAGGGTTTTAAAGCAGTTAGAATTTTCATTTACAGTTGATGGTTAGGGTTTAAAATTAGATTTAGGGTTTTCACCACGAACTGACATCAGCTATAATGCCCAAACTCTATTTAACCAAATGTATGAATGGATTCCGCGCCCAAATTCGTGACTCGCTATCTTATATCTGATCGGTTCGTCCATAAATTATAGTCTCGCCGGTTTTTTCACTTCTGTTGACTTTGTTTTCGCCTCTCGTATTTTACGTTGGTTTACCGTGTGAATACTCGAATTGATACACGCGTACCAGATCTTACCTTTTAGTGTTTGTTTGCCAACTCGAACTCATCAATGGGGAGTTGTCACTACGAACCTATGATACATTGTAACTGCTTTATCGTTGTAGTCGTTTTTCTCATTTTACGTATACGTAATCTATTCCGTCTTCTAAACAGACAATCAAACTAGTCTCTTAGAGACTTTCGGTTGTGCATGACCTTGTAAATTCCATTCGTATGTTTCTATTTATGCTTAGCTTATGTGTATGGTGTCCATAATTTACTTATTTGTAGTTTATACAATGCTCACCTTATATAGATTATCTTTCTCTTTATTCTTTGGTTCTTGGCTAAATGCCAAAGTTCCATATTCACTGTTCTTTTGTCGTTCGTCTACTTTCCGTATATATATCCGAAATATATAAATCCCAAACATATTTCGTAGTCAATATCTTCGCATTTACGTTGTATCAACGTGATCAGTCGGCTCAGTGGATACGAAGCTACGTAGTATCGCTATTTTCTTTAGCACCATTCATCATCGTTATGGAATCAAAGCAGTGCTCCATCACCTAGATATGACACATATTTGTCAAACATGCGTGGTCCACTTTTTAGTTGCCACAGTAACCCCAGAAGAGCTAGTTCACACCGACACAGAAAGTGAGCTGTGTTGAGCCCGTCGATCGGTTCACACGTCTTAAGTAACTGGGTTAAAAAACATTCACTAGGATACACTGCGATATAATTAGATTCCTTCATAAGTCGTTTTGTGACTGAAATATATGCTTATTGTAAGTCGAAAATAAAAACTCACTAACTATTGATGTGAAACGTGTAAGGCACTGGACATCAGCTGGTCACTTGTTGTATTAGTCTAGTAATAAGCTTGTCTCAATAAAAATGACTCAATAACTACCGATTCATGCGTTACTGTAAGCCATATATAATGGATTGGCGTCAATAATACTACGAAATTGCCAAAAATGGAATAAAAGACCAAATATAAGTTGCAACATATATTTATTTCCTACTTTAAAGTTTGCTCAAGGTTTCATGAGTAGTGACAAAGTGGGGCATGTAGTTTAAACAATATGGTTTTCTTTGTTGGTTTTCAACGTTTTGATATCACACTTCATCCCCATATAGCAAACCCATCAGCATCAAGAAGTCCGGTTTCATAATGGAGGCCTTGTTGGTAATGATTTCAGTAGAATTCAAATAAATTTTAAGGCAATCGGTTGTATATCAGCCCCCAAATGCCCTAGTACGGCCGAGAGTAAGGTGAGTCAGCTCTCACTCGAAATGCTCTCACCTGGACGCCACTGCCAGGGAAGTCCTACTCACTGTCTTCTCGTGGCGGGGGTGTTGTTTACGAGATTCAGAGGACGGAAAGCGAATGTTCGGCGCTTTAACCAGATTGATGCACACGAGAAGTCCACGTAAGAGGTTGGAAAACCCTGATCCCAAACCAATGGTGCACATGGGCTCCAATATCCTGAAGGAACAAATGGCGTATAAAGCAATCGTTGGTCACTGGCTATCATGGGACTGCATCTTTTAACGTTGCTCCATTGCCTTGTGGATCAGACTTTTAGGTCAAAGGCTTCAGGTGTGGCCCTCTAGGAAAACCACCTGCTTCTGTTTGGGCATCCGGGCAGTATCCCAGCCCACACACAAATCAAGTGACTTGTGTGGCGCATATGTACTTGGTGCCCCTTTGTACCAATATTTATGTTCAAAGAAATAAATAGTAAATAATGATTAGGGTTTCTGAACGGAGTTATTATCACTAAACATAATCATGCTAAAAATGCATTAAAAGTCCATAAAGTAATGTGTCGAAAGCTGATCTGAAATCCACCCCGTCGCCACTGTTGTGATATCTCTTGTTACGACACAGCTACTTATTGATTAGCATTCTTCGGACACGACTTCACTCAACAATTCCCCAAATCAAAACACGGTTGAACAGGAATGCACTTGTATTCCAAATCAACAAGGTCGGTTGGGATTAAGGATTCTCAGTAAGAAACGTTAGTATATCTGTAGTTTTACAAGATTAAATTCTAGAATCTTCTCCAAGTGTCCGCTAGCGCTGATCGGCTAAGAAATAACCAATTAGCCTGCTCCAACGTAATCCTGTATGGAACATACTTTAATCCAAACTATATCCTACCAACGGATTTCCCTCATAAGTTGTATTTAGGGATCTCACATTCCCGAGAGATGATTGGGGGCTTGTGCTGACTACTGCCTACTTTGATGGGCGGTGTTGTTTGATACAGTGGTGGGCTGGAAGGTGGAGGCGGTCAAATCAAAACATGGCATCAATCTATGAAGTCATTGATAATTGGACTAAGCCATGTAAATAGGTGCGAACCGTCGACTTGTGGTCAGCTTGACTATCGTAACCCATGGTTAGACTTTGGGTAACATGACTCAGAGTCTTTTACAATGACGTAGGCATATTTCCTCCTTGTCTTCCTTCAGAACCTGAGTCTTGGAATACCATATTTTCCCCTTTTCTATTATCACTACTTATACTGCCACTAATTCTACTAATCTAGGATGTCTTAATAATTTTACCTCGCTGTGCTAATTTGGTGTGCCGATTTGAACGTTATGTGTCAACTTGTACATTGTACGTGATTGTTTGACTGATTATTTCATTCCACCAGCTTTATATTTCTGTCATTCATTTTCTTAAAATACCTGAAAAATGAGCATTTCAGGAGTGTGGTACACTTACAGCCAAATAATTTACCCATAATATATAGGATACAGTTGTATTATGTTAGTATGCTACTAAAAGGTAGTTTATAGAGTATTTCAAGGTTGTAAAATGTGTATGCTCTCCAATTAAATTGGTAATGGAGAACGGTGTATAAATTCAGCGGCATCTATACGTAAACATATGGCTGTTCGTTGTAGTTACTGTAATCACTGAGAACTATCCATATACTATTATTATTTAATTTATTTAAACACAAACATTGGTACAAGAAGGCACGAAGTATATATGCGCCACACCGTCATTCGATTTGTGTCAGGGCTAGAATACTGCCTGGACGCCCTAACTGGAGCAGTTGGTTTTCCTTGGGGGGCCACTCCACGAGCCTTTGATACAGAAGTCTAATCTACCAGACAATGTAGCAACGTTGGAAGGTGCAGTTCCATGGTAGCCAGTCACGAACAATAGGTTCATACGCCAATTGTCCCATCAGGATCCTGGAGTTTATGTTGACCATTGATTTTGAATCAGGGTTTTTCAACTTCCCTAGGTTGAGTCCTCCGTATCCACCAACCTGATCCGCGTGCTGGACATTCGCTTTTCGTCCTCTCAATTTCGTAAATAACACTCACTTAGAGGGAAGGCAGTTAGTAGGATTTTCCTGTCAGTGATTGTATACGTGTGGCTATTTGAGAACATTTGGGGGCAATATCCATATACACTAGGCTCGCTTAGATTTCAGAGTAAAATCTTTACGAAAATAACTAAGTCAATTGAAATTTGTGACATATGCTGCCATTGCTCTTAGGTTTAAAATCTAATCTAACATTATTGTTTGCAGAACACTAAATAATCTCAATAGTCTTAAGTTAGAACCTATTATGTCTCAATCTCAGCAGACTTAATCAGAATGATCTGTATTTTGAGCTTTATTCCAATAACCTTGGTTTAACACAGTAGGT